GTCTGGGGGTCCTTCTCTAATAAGTCGGGCAAGGGTAAATTCTCGGGGTCGTCGGCAGCCAGGGCACATACTGCAGCAACATCCTCTGGTCTCTCCTGATACTCCTTCAGTATGTTCACATGAAAGGATCGCTGAATCTTTTCATCTGCACAGCTGGCTATAAGATAGGTAGCTAACACTTTATACGGGCCCTGCCAAGATGCTTGCATCTTGTTCGTCTTCACAGGCTTGAGCACTAGAACCTTTTGCCCAACTTGAAAGACCCGCTGTCGGGCACCCCGATCCTACCACCTCTTCTGTCTCCCCTGGGCCGCCTGGAGATTCTCTCTTACCATCAGGGATAGTTTCTCCATGCGCTCCTGGAGTTCCAGAACGTATGGCACGATGGGGGTTCCCTCTTGCTCTGTCTCTCCCTCCCAGTGTCCTCTAATGAGATCTAGGGGTCCGCGGACCCTTCTCCCATAGAGTGGCTCAAAGGGAGAGAACCCAGTAGATTCCTGGGGCACCTCTCTGTATGCAAATAGCAGATGAGGCAGGAATCGCTCCCAGTCTCTGCAAGTGTCAGTAAAGGTCCTCAACATCTGTTTGAGGGTGCCATTAAATCGCTCGCAGAGACCGTTAGTCTGGGGGTGATAAGGTGAACTGAGCAGCGGTTTAATGCCGCACACCTTCCACAGCTGCTGGGTAAGCACAGCGGTAAACTGGGTTCCCTGGTCGGAGAGGATCTCCTGAGGGAACCCGACCCTAGTAAAAATTTTAACCAGGGCATCAGCAACCGTCTCTGCCTCTATATTAGACAGCGCTACTGCCTCTGGATAACGTGTGGCATAGTCCACCACGGTGAGAATATACTTCTTACCGGATGGGCTAGCCCTGGCCAGTGGACCCACAATGTGGGAAAAGGGTTCTCCAATGAAAGGCATCGATATGAGCCTAGCCTTTGGGTGATCCCCCCGTTTACCTACCCGTTGACATGTGTTACAGGTGCTACAATAGACCCGCACATCTCGGTTATAATTAGGCCAGAAGAAATTTTGGGTGATCCTATGAGTTGTGCGGCGGGAGCCTAGATGGCCCCCTAATGGCACATCATGTCCAATCCGCCACCAGCTGCCGATTCTGCGGAGGGGTACTCGGTCTCTGGGACGGTTTAGGGATCCTGTACAGCCTATCACCTACCCACTCGTAACGCTCCCCATCAACCCCCTCTCCTCCAGTATCTGCCCTGGCCCTATACTTCTCTAGAGTCGGGTCTTCCCGGGTTTCCCTCCCGTACATCTCTGGGGTATCCCAGCCTAAAGGGGCCTGGTCTAAGGTACAAGTCGGGGTAGAGAGTCTTACCTGGGTCTCAGCAGCAGGTGGGCCGGTCTCGGTGGCACAGGTCTGGGCACGGGTCGTGACAGCGTCCACTTCAGCGGGACCCATGGGAGCGTAGGCTGAAACAAGGGGAGCCAAGTCATTGCCAAGGAGGACATCCTTCATGACCCCCACATTCACATGTCTAGCGCCCACTCCCCAATCCAAATCTACCCGGGCAACGGGTAGGCGAAACACATCGCCTCTGGCTACTCGCACTGCTACCGTGTCTCCAGTATGTTGGGTCTCGGACACCAAGTGCTTCTGAACTAATGTCATGGTTGCACCGGTATCCCTCAGACCACTGACCTCCTTCCCGTTGACTTTGACAAATTGCCGGTGGTGCTGTCGGTTATCCCGGTGAGCAGCTTGGACAGGGTCTGCCTCATGCAAGATGCCCCAGCATTCCTCTTCCTCTACGCAGTGGGCAGCCGGGGGAGGGGGTCGTTGATTTCCGCTGGCTGGTCTCCTCCAAGACTGGGCCTGGTTAGTACTGTTCAGCGGGCACTCCGGTCGCTTGTGCCCTAGCTGCTTGCACCCAAAACATCTAATAGGTTGGGAGTAGTCCCCTGACTTGAACCGGGGCGGCTGCTGATAATTGTTAGATGGAGCGGGTGCTGACGGTCGGTTCGTCGGTGGTTGGTATACGGTAGCTGCTGGAGGTGCTGCTGGTCGGTACTCCACTCTGGCAGGAGTCTTACCAATAGCACTGTCCAGTTTACGGGCATCTGTGTACTCGTCCGCCAGGCGAGCTGCTTCATGCAGAGTGGAGGATTTACGGTCCCTTACCCACTCTCTGACGCCTGGGGATAATTTTTCAAAACAGTGCTCCAACAGGAACATTTGCAGCACCTCTTCCCCGGATACAGCTTGGCACCCCGCCATCCAGTGGGCACTTTGCATGCCCATTCCACATAAGAGTCCCCAGCTGATTTAACAGTGTCTCTGAACCGTCCTCCTGTATGCCTCCGGAGTAACGGCATACCTGGAGAGCAAAGCTTCCTTGACGGCCTCATAATCCCCAATCTCCTCATCAGGAATGGCCCGAAAAGCATAACTGGCCCGGCCGGATAACTTGCCGGACAATATAGTAACCCAGTCTTCCAGGGATACCTTGTGTAGGGCACATTGCCGATCAAAATCAGCAAGGTACCCATCAATCTCTCCTTCTG